AATTTAAATTTTGATATTTCTAATACCTTTAATGCTCACGGGTTACATTGCAACAATTTTAACTCTTTTTCTCCTAAATTTTAATATAAAGCATATTTAGTATACCATATACACAAATTAACTAATTACCCCTTAACCCCGTCATTCTTGACGGGTTATTAGCTAGTATTAATATAAATATATCTCATTTCAACCCATAAAATATTCTTGAAAATATGAATTTACCTCTAAGGACTTTATTTAGCTTTAATTTGATTAATATGCTCTGAGAGCAAGTTTTTTTAATTAAAGGAAAATTCTATAAATAACACTTCTTCGTGTTAACGGCTTCAAATAAAGATTGGCTTATTATAACAAAGATGAGTAGCTGTTGGCCGAATGAAAACGGAAATGGGAAGATTGCAAAAGGGACTGAAAAGATTCGATAACAACTGAAAGAAAGAATTAAGAGCGAGAATGGATTTTATAGGTCAATTATATGTTATTTAATTTATAAATAAAATTATAAATGAAATGGCATATAGATCCTAATAAGATTCATAAATCGCCTCATATGATTGTAAATATGCGGCCAAAGGGTTTAAAGAAATAAATAGAGGACGATTTTTTAAAATATATTTTTTATTTAATTAAGATCACGCGGTATATATTTTTAAGCTTTTTAAAACTATATTATAACTTATTTAGGTTCAGATATAAGGTTATATCTAAAAATTCAGGTTTCTAAATTGAGTTTCATTTGAGGAATGAAGGAAGGAAGTAAGGAGTAAAGGTAGATAAATAGTCGGTATATATATGTTACACACATATATATATATATATAAATTTTGGTATAAAAAAAATCCATTAATCTTATACATCTGAGTATTCAGAAAGTATTGCTTAAATTATATTCTATTTCTAAATATTATATATTACTAGCTCTGTTCATAACCTAAAATCTATCTTAAAAATATAAAGGACTGGAGGTGGTTGGGCAAAAGATTAAGCGTCGGGTAAAAAAAGGGGCAAACAAAAATAAATTATTTTAATTTCTTGCTAATTGGAAATTAGATGAACTTTCGGTTATTAGCACATTATAAATTTTAAACGGGCTGGTTCAATTATTTAACTTGTTTAAAATGATTTGTTAAAAAAAGAAATGTTAGGGAGAAGATAAAGTGACAAACTAATTTTCTAAAATTAAATGGTAACCAAATTTTTTTTACGGGTTATTGAAACATAACAAGAACATACAAACTAAATTATAAATTCAGAAGTCTTTAAATAAATTCGAAGAAAAATTTAATTAAATATTAATATCAAAGGTAAATAAACTTAATAACACTTTTTCGGCATGTGTTTAAGCTCATTTTAAAAAAATTTTAAAAAAATACTATATAAAATAAAGGTTTTTTTAAAAAAAACTCCATACTTTGTTAATATCTATATTGTTCCATAATAAATTTTTAGCATAAACCAAATTTTTATTTATATTATATATTTATCTAAAAAAGCCATAATAATATCAAGTTACTACCCACCTAAAAGGTCGCAACCCTTTATGAGCAATATACTCATGGTTTTATTATATTAATTTTACTGTTATAAAATTAAATTTAAATAACATTTTACTTAGTCCTTTTGATTATTATTTTAGATATAATGCCTCGACGTTATTTTTTAAACTATATTCTGAAATCCTGAAACACATTATTTTAATTAGTTCGAAAAAAACAAATAAAACCAATTACGGAGCTACACAAGTTTTTTAAAGTTTTTTTCCGAAGATGATTGACAGTTAATTTATGGTAGATTAGTCAATATTATAGTAATATTATATGTAAATAAACATTCCATAAACTAAAGTCTACATAATGCGCCTTGCCAAAAAAAAATAAGATCAATTTACTCCTTCCTCTCTTTTCCAAATTTTAAAATACTTGTAATAACCTCAAAAACGAATAGACACTTTTCATAATTATCACGTAATACTAATTATTTTAAGCCTGGCTCAAATTTAATTTGTTGAACAATTATTTTGTAAAGTTTCTTAGATTTCAACTGATCATTGGAAATTTCAACAAATTGATGTCAAGAAATGCTAGAAATTCTACGTCTTATTGCGATATATACAATAAAATTTAATATATACGATATGCCATTCATTTTTGAATGAGAATCTCTATCCAGTTGCTTGTTTAGCTATCAGAGAGGGGCAGGGACAATTGGCAAAGTTTTATAAATAAAACTCTTCTTACTCTTATTCTTGACCATCTTTTCTCAAAATATGATTAAAATAAGATAAGTCATTAATAATATAAATTAACTATTACTCATATCGAACATTTTAGTCCTACCCTATTTTCTAAGATAACTCATCCTTAAGACTTATTTCATAAAAAAAATTTGTCTGAAGCTGGGGATCGAATTTGGGTTGAAATAATTATCGCATAGGGAGGCACTAACCATTTGCTCTTCATAAATCTTTCAGTGGCTAGGCTTTTAAAAATAATTTCCCACTAAGATGCTACTTCTGAACCGCACCTTCTACTATAAATGATTATATATATATATATCAGAGACCTGCAAAGTACCATTTTTACGGCCCGGCCCAGATTAAAAAATTTTTGGCCCGGCCGGATTTTTTTTTCAAAAATTTTTTACGGCCCGGCCCGGGTTTAAAAATTATAGGCCCAGCGCGGCCTGGATATTTAAAAAAAAATTTTTAGGGCCCGGCCTGGATTTTTTTTTAAAAAAAGATTTTTTTAAGCCCAGTTCGTAATTTTTTAAAATTATATTCGACTTGGTATATACAAAAAATTAATTATTTCGTATTTTATCATATTTTTCGGCGAGTATTATCATTTAATAAGCAAGTGTATTAGCTAATGTTGTTAAACGGCTCGTTTTGAGCCGATTTTTAAAAACGGCTAACTCAATATTTTCGCCAGAAAAATATTGTCTAAGCCTCGAAATTTCGATACTATATGTCTAGACCTTTGCTCCTTCTATGAGCAAAATTTTCAGGCTTGCATGATATTTTTCTGGATAAAAAACTGAGTTAGCCGTTTTTAAAAATCGGCTCAAAACGAGCCGTTTAACAACACTACTTTTTTTTTATTCTAAACAGATATTTAGTATATTACAAATTGATACTATAAAAAATTTGTGTAAATAAAATATACTATGTATTTATAAAAAAAATAAAAATGAAAAATGATATTTTAATTAATAAAAAATAAAAAATAAAACATATATATTATATAATAATGTATTTAATCCTTTGCGTATTTATTCCATGGCAGGAAAACTATAATTTTATTATGTAATAGATACTATGAGTGTTAGCTAGTGTTAACTTTCACCAAACATTAATATAATCATTATAACCATTCTAATTGACGAATATAATAATTCATGTTGTATAAAATTTTTAAAAAATACGGCCCGACCCGGCCCGGGTATTTTTTAAAAAAAAATTTCAGGCCCATTTTCAGGCCCGGCCCGGCCCGGCCCGGGTATATTTTAAAAATTTAAAATACGGATATAATGAGTTAATTGTCCTTTTTTAGAAACATAGTATACTTTGTCTATGTTAACTAGATTATTAAAGTACACCAAGTTTTTGAAAAAATATACTAAGAAAATACTATATATCACAATAATATTAAAATTGTAGTGGTATAAATTTATGAAAATGCTATTTTTTTTTTTAAAATATATAAGAAATAATTTTTGCAAATAGCATAAATCTTTGTATTGCCCAATATTTGGGATGTCGGCCTTTCCAAATACTAGTGGTTTGAAAACGGTGTGCGTTTGTTATCAACAGGTATTAACGAATGCGAAGAATTTAGAATTTATGTTCTGGTGCAAGATGAAGACTGAAGTATTGTCTTTGAAATGTTATCTTTTTAACCATCACCAGAGTGTGATAATTTATTTGTAAGATCTTATGGTTGTTTATTTTAGAAAAATTTTGCTAAATATAAACAAATGTAAATCCTAATTCTTTAGTAAACATAATGATAAGGAATGGAATATTGAAGATTTTTGGAATCGGGTTTGAATGCCAAAAGAGAGTTAAGAATATAAGAGGGTTCATAAATGGAATAATAGCATTGTAATGGATGATAGATAGAACATGATTGAAAATCAAAAGACAAGGGTACTCCATCTACCAGATTTAGTATGTAAAAGTCTTGAACCTAAAATAAAGTAAAAAAATGTGAGGTTGATGATTTTCTGAAAATATTTATAAAGCTTATATTTATCCTTTAATGAGTGAGTCGGAATTGAAGTAAATCTGTGAGAAACGGAGGAATTGAGGGTTTTTTGTTCAAGGAAAAAAAAGTAAAGGGAACTAATAAATTGTTAAAATTTTTCATTCAGAAGTCTCCCGTTTAAGGTTATATTTTTTGTAACAACTAATTTGGTTTTGGTCAATTAATGGGAATTAGAAGAATGAGCGTGTGGTGGTGTAATTTATAGTTGGTTTTAAATAATTTGAATCCGGTTTGGATTAGAGAGAAATCAGAACAAGGAATTTAGGTTCGAAATGAGAGGTGATCCGATTATGATTCAGAAAAAAATACCTAGAATCTGGGTCCGTTCAACTTAGTTTGAACTCTGTTAGCATTTTTTTTCCTTATATATTATTAACAATTTCTTTATAGAAAAGTAAAACATAATAAAATACACAATTATAATCATCTTTTCGATAAATACTTATCATTGATATTTTGATAAGATATCAATAATAATTAATATAATTATAACGTATAATGTGTTCTGCTACGTACGATTCAGACCTAAAATAAAATAAAAATAATAATATAGAAATCAATAGATAAATTTTTGTAAAATATTTTTTTTATACAAATATTTTGGTATACACCAAGATTTTATTTTTTTCTAAAAAAAAAAATTTTTTCTTCTAATTTATAAAATATTTTTTAAAGAAAATAGAAAACTGCAGTAAAGAATTCCTGAATCATCTTTAACTAATTTGTTAAATATTTTCTAAATTTTTATAATTTGAAAATAGAAAAAAAAGAATAATAAATTAATTAATAAAAAAAATATTTTTAATCCGCTTATCAAAAATCATATTGCGACAAGGATCTGTATGTATAACTTTGTAGGACTCCCTGTTTCCGTCATAATAATATTAATGATATTAGCTTTACTTACACATCATCTTTACTCATCATCTTTTGTTCCCCATCATAAAGTACGGGAAAATGATCCCGAAAACTTAAAAGACGATGCTAATCATGAGGATCTCCTAATCATTCCAGTGGGAAATTCCAGAGTCCTCCACACCAAAAATGGGGCTATAATTGGTTCCACTTGGAAAATCGGAAGCAGAGATAGCAATTTTGTTATGGTAGAACAATTTTTAGGCGTCTCCTATGCATCTAAGCCGTCCCAAAGGTTCATGCCAGCAGGGCCGCCAGTCAAATGGAGAGGCCTCTTTAATGCTACGCGTCATGGTCCTATATGCCCACAAAAGGTTGATCAGATATTATGGCATGAGAAGGAAGATAAAGATATCTATAATGATTCACTTTGGAATAGGACGAAATCGGGAAATTATTCATTTTTAACAACTAGAATTGAAAACTTAATTTCTATCATGTACACTGATGGAGTAGTACCGAATTACGATCAAAATGAAGATTGTTTGAACCTCAATATATATTTGCCCTCTATTAAAGGTAAATTTCATTTGTTATATTTATATATAACATAGTATAGCAAGCAATTTATCTAATATAAATGTTAGAGATGTTAAAAGACACTTATCAAAAAATGCAAATGTATCGAGATAAAAATAAATACCCGGAAAGTGTCTAGATACAAAATATGGCTTAAAATGTATTTAATGGTAGATACAAATTTCGGTATATTTTTCATTATAATCATGCAAGGTAACATAATGTCGAAATTAAAGATCTTTTGTAAAACTCAAATTTTGAAGCTAACCAAATTTTTTTTATATTTTATTTTTTATATAAAATACATAATTATATGACTATAAGATTATTAATAGCTTTTAATAATAAAACACTCTCAAAGCGTTCATCACCGAATTCCCATTTATCCATAAACACATTTTTATCCATACTAAAAAAATCCTTCAACTTATTCGATGGAAGGTTGTGTAGTATTTTATTTTATAAATTAAACTTTTATACTAGGGTAATCTCCAAATATAGTAAAATTTCAACTCTCATCTTTATTAAAAATAATCATTAAAAATATGATGGGTGTTAATTTTCTTTATCCATATCATCTTGAGGGTGGTGAGGGGGGGTGGGTGGTTTTCAATTTTTTTATTTGATTTTCTCTTTAATAAAATTTGTAAACTTTGAAAATTTATTGACTAAGCCATTTCTTACCTATCAGGTTTAAAAATTTGCCGATGCTGTGATTATTTCTTCTTTATCAGTATTACTTATATTAATCATCTAAAAATTTATAATGTATAAAAATTATTATTACCACCATTTACCTTTATTTTCTTTATCCATTGTGTAAATATTACTTTTCATTTGTCCAGATATTTAATAAATTAAATACAAAATATATAGGATTACATTTAAATAATTAATATAATAAAAAAACATAAAATAGTAGCAAAATGAATCTATTAAATGTCTATATATAGATACTTATATACCATTTTTTAATTTAGATACTTTAAAAATTCTGATTATATATACATACATCATACTAACATAAATCATAAAGGATAGGAATTTAAATTATGCGTTGGTTAAAGAGCGTGTGTGAATTTATAAAAACAGTTTATTAAAAAATACGTCTTATTTTACTAATAGAAAAATCAGGTTTTAATTTCATCGAGACTATTTCAGTCAAGTATAAATAAATCATTTTAATATCTAAGATATATTCAAGAACTTTTCGGTCATTATAAATAAATCATTTTAATATCTAAAATATATTTATTAAAATATTTCTTTGTATAATTGGGATTACAATGTTATAAATTTTCAAAGGGTTGTCATGTCACGTCCCTTTAATAATACATTTATAATTTGTACTGATTTGTTCAAATATGAATAGTTAAAATGAATATAAAATAAAAAGATTCGTTTGATTATTAATTATTTACTTATATGTAACAAAATAAAATTATTTGACTAAAAAAAATATTTCGATATTTAATATCTTATATTCTGCAAAAAAAATTATTATGGGCCAAATGAAGTTGTAAAGCTCTTTGTTCATTTCAAATGCAAAGAAATAAAAAAAAGGAAAGAGAGAAAGAAAGAAAGAAAAATAAAAGAAAAATAAAAGAAAATAAGGAGAAGAAAGATTAGGAAGACAAATAACTATAGTCTCATCATTGCCTCGATTTTTAATTGATTATCAATTTTTTTAACTTATATATTAATCTAGGAAATTTGGGGATAGAAATACATTAAGCCTAACAAGGACTAGCCAAATGAATAATATTAGATTTCATGGGGGAATTTAACGATAAAATCACAAATATTTTAAATTATAGTATTAATAGTATATCGAATTAATAATTCAACGCATTAAATAAAGTCTAGGGGATTTGGCCTATAAAAATTAATTAGTTATACAAGTGCGAAAATATTTATTATTATTATTATACATATTAATTATCGAGTTATTGCTAACTATATATTTATAAGTATGCACGAACTACATAACAAGTTAATCCCAGAGGTGATTATGTAATATGTAAATGCATATTATTATAACTAATTAAAATAATACATTATCTTATACAAAATAATATTTTATTACGCTTTTTAAATTGTTTAATACAGAGATCTGCAGAGGTACCATTTGTAGGGCCAGGTCCAGCCCAGATTTTTTTTTTAAATTTTCGGCACAGCCCGGGTTTTATATTTATAGACCCCGCCCGGATTTTTAAAAAATATATTATATTTATTTTTAATTTTTAAAGCTAATAATGACGATTAATATTTGGTTTTAAAATATAAGTCCTGGCCCGGTCCGGGTATTTAAAAAAAAATTAAAATACGGCTCTGGGCCGGACTTAGGGCCAGGCCTGCAAGTTTCTGGTTTAAAAAAATGATATAAATTGTAATTTGTACGATCATAAATTTTCCTGTTATCCTAAATATCAAAGCTAGTAAAATCCCCCCCCCCCTTCACACCCACACCCCTCTCCTCCAAAAATGTATATAATATTAGTGATCTGCATCGGGCCTAATTTTTCAAGCCCGGGCCGAAATTTTTTTACCCGAAATTTTCGCCGGCCCGGCCTGAATTTATTTAAATATAGAAATTAATTTTTATAATTACTCAAGATAAAAGATAGTTATATGGCGTCTAGTTTCTATAAATAAAATAAAATATTTTTATTTTACATAAAAAATTCAACATAAAATTGATAAATCTAGATATATTTTACAAATTTCCAAGGCCCCACCCGACCCAACCCTAATTATTTTAAAAAATATTAGGCCCGACTCAGCCCGAACCCGATTTTTTCAAAATAGGCCAGACCTGCCCGAAGCCCTGGGTCGAATACGGGACGGGCCTACTTTTGTAAATTTCTATATAATATATCATTATAATGAAGAATTTGAAATAAAAATTAGGAAATATTAATATCATTTTAAAATAACGACTATAATTCTATTTAGAAAAAAGTTTCATTATCCTCTTACCCCCCGCCCTTCCTCCCTTAAATTATCTAAACTTTCTAAGGGATGCCTATCTAAATGATGGATGCAGGAAACGAGTCCCCACTTGAGGATACCCTTCACCCAAACAATAATTTTAATCCCTTCGATATCAAAACATATTTAAAATTCTTTAACTCGACCACGTATGAAGTTAAAGTATTGTTGCCAAATTTCACAATTTGACCGTGATTACATTTTTTATCAAAAAATATAGGTTCTCTACAAAATATATAAATTTTAATTAATATGTGCTAATAACGGTAAGCAGAAAATAATTCCCCGGAATCGATTTTCTCAAAATTTTTAAATATTTTATTTGATGATTTTTATTTCGTGGATCTGGATATATTAGTAGCGAATTTTTTAGGAATTATTTTCCTAGATTCTTAAGCAACAAATCATATTCACTGGTGCATTTAAATTTATAAGAAAGGTTTAACATACGATGGAAATATTATTTTATCACGCTCACCAAATACTTAAGTGTTGGATAATTATTTAACCACGGAAAATTAATAAAATATTTAAGTTTGAATAACTATTCAAAATTTCGCGAAAAACTTTAAATTTATAATTATTGCATTTAAATATGTAATAATAGGAGAGGATATGTTATCTAAGGACATAAAAATATGGTAAGCGGAAAATAATTTCTCTGAAAAAAAATGCCCAAGAATAATTCCCCTGAATTATGATTCCAGAAAAAACTTTCCTCCCTGGAAAAAAAATTTCCCCATTTTTCAGATTTTAAAATAATTACCCTGAACGCTATGAGATATGCAGAATTTGACAAAAATACAGAAATACAGTATATTTTGTGTACTTTGTCGCGAATTTGCGCTAACAGTGAATGCAGGGTTAGGCGGAAAATAATTCCACTGTAAAAACAAGATGCACTATTAAGTTCAATTTTTTTTCTCGAATTTTATAAAGCAAATTACTAAAAATAAATGTTATAAAACAATACAATAAATGTATGTTTTATTTGGATTTCAGTGTAAAATATAATTATCTTTAACTTCCTTTTTTTTTTTGAAGTAAATGAGTATAAAAAAATATATTAATATCTTTTTAACATGGTGGAAACAAAGGCTAGCAGAATTTTTGACAGGTAGAGACTATATTTTCAAAAAATATTTAAAAAGTATTAGGATTATTTGTTGTTATTTTCAAAAAAAAAATTTGAAACATATTGATAAAATTTTTATTGTTTTATCAAAGATATATTTTTAAGTTTACATATCACGAAACACATTTTCTTCAAACTTTTATCGCGAGTGTTTATTATAGCGAATTGATTTTATAGCGAAGCTTGTCACGAATCCTCATTCGCGAAGACTATATATCACATAGGGTTATATTTGCTCATCTTGATCTTAACTGGTGAAAGTGATATCTGGAGCCAATTTATTGCGTGATGATTGGTAATTTTTAACTTTGATTCATCAATTAGTTTTTCCATTAGCTAACCAAAAATCTAGTTATGGGCTAAATAAATTATAACGTCATGCTTTGGAATACTTCTTTATGGGATTTTAAATCGCGATTCAAATATCAATTACATCTAAATAAAGTAAGTTTTCCCCGATTCAAAATATATTTGAATCTTATGATTCTAGAGTATGAACATCTAAATAAAGTAAGTTTTCCCCGATTTAAATATATTTGAATCTTATGATTCTAGAGTATGATCTTTATGGAACCTGTTGATATCATAGTAAATACAAAAAAAATTGATAGATCTGAATTCCAATAACAAAACTGAAATTCCATAGTTGGCATCAAACTTCAAGATAGAACAAGAAATATAGAAGCACTAAAAATAATTACAATAAATTTGTTATATTTTGATCGAAATCTAGCGGTTCATTTATATAACATTAAATATAATTTGATAATAATTTAAAATTCTATAATCAGTAAAAAAAAAATTTGACTTTTATTTATATTATCTCGTTAAGTATAATTACTAATAAGCTTAGAATTTTTTTCCTTAATTGCTT